TATATATATATAAATATATATATATATATATATAAGTAAATATATATACGTATATATGTAAATATATATACGTGATATATGTATTTGTGTGGAATTATTTTTTGCAGTTTGCTTAGGTTACCAATGTCGGCAGCAGATGATTCCTGTTGTCTAATTCTAGCGTCATGTGAAAAGGTTATCTCTGCTTTGATGATAAATTTTAGAATGCTTCTTTCTCATTGGTTTAGAAAAGCGATTTTCAGATATAAAGTCTACCTACATGCGAAATAGTACTATTTTCTCATCTACTCTCTTATATTTTATGTATGAAACATTTTCCGAGGCCCACTTCTTGAAAAGCGATGCGCAATCTTTGGCCTGTATCTGTTGTTTTCGAATTTCCATCACGTGACCGATGATTCATCTTTTTTCTGTATGCCATGACTCTTCTGAATATTGACTATCATGTCTCTCCACAATTTCCTTTCCCTTGTAATTCTTAGTAATTTTATTTTTTTTTGTTGTCTCTCCTAATCCCTGCTCTGCCAACCATTTCCACAAACTCCTTAGGTAGGTAATGTTCTGTGTTCCTTTATCTCTCTTGAATTCCCTATATCTTGTGAGTGTCTAATTCTCTAAGCTTTCATTCCTCATTTGAAATTTAACTGTTTCTTTCTGATGGTGTATAAGTGCTTGTCTGTTTCGATTTTCTCTAAAACTTTATCGTTGCCTACATGATACTTACATGGTATCCTCGGCATCCTAATGTCGAACAACCTTTCTGTTGCTTCATGTCTTCGTCTTTGAGGAGATTATCCCTCATACACTGACATTTAGAAGGACCGATATTATATCAGGTCATCCCATAAATTCTGTCCGAATTTTGAATAAAGAAAACAAGTGACCAAATGTTACATTTAATTACAGATTCAATCAACAATGTATTTTCCTTGATTATCTATGACTTTCTTCCATCTATTAACAAGCTTACTAATTCCATTACTGTAAAAAATTTTTGGCTTTGATTCGAAGAACTCACAAATGTCAGTTTTAAACTCTTCCTGTTTTACAAAAGCTGTTTCTTCCAAATGATTTGTAAGCTACGAAACAAATGGTAGTCTGAAGGAGCAAGCTCGGGAGAATAAGGTGGATGAGGAATTTTCTCCCAACCAAGTTCTTCGATCTTTTGTGACGTGATTCTTGCTGTGTGGGGTCGCGCATTGTCCTGATGAAACATCACCCCTTTTCGATTCACTAGAGCAGGGTTTTTTTTTCCTCAAAGCTAGGTTTAAACGCTCTAATTGCTGACAGCATATTTGAGCATTAATTGTTGCATTAGGTGGTAAGAATTCAAAGTGGATTATTCCTTGGCGATCCCACCAGATTGAAAGAAGAACCTTTTGCCCGTTCTCGGATGTGGCTGGGGTCCTTCCCCTTTACCAAGCCACTGTCTACGACGCTTAACATTTCGATAAAAGATCCATTTTCATCGTCAGTCTCAAGTCTATTCAAAAAAGGTGAAACAAGTTGGCGAGAATGGAAAGAGCAGATGTCAACTCAGGATTTGAGGTTGTTTTCAGACAATTCATGAGGAACCCATTTTCCAAGTTTAGGAACATTTTGTTGAAGATGACGATGAACAGTTGTATGGTTTGAACTGAGAACCACTGCCAATTCCTCAACTGATAAAGCAGGATTTTCTTCAAGGGCTGTTTCAAGAAGCTTTTCATCAAACTCAACTGGAAGTCCGTTTCGATCTTCACCTTCAAATGTGAAATCTCCATCTCTGAATTTTGCAAACCATCTTCTGCAAGTTCTTTCATTCACACATTCCTCTCCATAAATTGGCTGCTGAGTTTCCTTTCTTGAACTCAGAAAGCTTTATGTGTCTCAAATGATTCTTGTGTACTTCCATGTTAACAGGGTTTCAATCAAACAAAATTTAATTTTATTGTTCTCGGAAATAAAATTTCATCAGTTTAAATACATCTAAACAAAAATAATGTTCAGCTTCATTAGACATTATAAAATACTCTTTAAATTTCGTTTATTTTAACAAAAAGTTTAAATTCGGACAGAACTTATGGGATGACCTGATATAACAGATCAGTATCATTTATTTTTTTCTATTAAATTTCCCGTTTTCTTAATAATTTGTTTAACATTTGGAAGACATTTTTCGCTATCCCATTCGCCCTCAACTTTCGATGTCGCATTTTCATTCGTCACTTGTTTGATTTTGGTATCTTTAATTGAAATTCAGATGTTGGTGTCTTCTTTGTCGCTGGCGACCATTCATTCTGTCTTCGTACAATTAATCTTTAGCCTTTCCCTACATAATTTCTATGGGGGAGCCTAATCTTCATACGCCACTTCATTGAAACGTAATACACGCATATTTTATATAAGCAAATTATTTGGAAATAAAATAGTCTGCTTTTGCGTAGGAAGTTAACTTGCATAAATATATTCTTGAGTTCAATCCGGCTACGGCAGCCATTTTGAATATTGTTGATTCAGCATTTCCTCTTCCGGCTGCGAAGACGAAAACTAAAACGTAAAAAAGAAAACGTAAAAAAAAGAAAGTCTTTGTTTTGAAAAGTTTATCTCCATAATGCAGTCTGAAATATTTATTTCTGCCTTTTATCTGCACCTGCCTCGAATATTGCTTCATTCTCACTTAAAATTCTTTACAGCTATGAGAAAAACAAGCAAGAGTAATAATTCGTTAAACTTTAAAATACCACCAATTTCGATCACGTCCAAAACACCTGTAGCTAACTAGTTATATATATAAAAAAGAATAAAACAATTAAATAAAATAAACATGAATTAGTTTCATGAATTTCTTTTTTGTCTATGTAGAATATCAGGTCAAGTACTCGTATTAAAGCAAATTTAAAAGCCAAAGTCACTCGTATAGAAAGAACTTTAGAGATATGCATATTTACAATGTTTAAAGCACAAATCCATATATAGGTAGGAAGGTTATTTTACGACAACCCTCTAAATAGGAAGGATCTGCCTCGTCTGGAAAATCACTATTTAATGTCGGTTGTGAGGTCTGTGTTCGGATACTCATTAAAACCCTCTTGTAGATAGTGATTTTCTAAGCCCGGCTTAGATGTGGCACAAGGCCGAAAGTATGGGGTACCCAGTGAGGATCGAACTCACTACTCAGTCGTAATTGATCAACCAAGACAATCTTTCTAACCATTACACCACATCGAGGTGCCCAAACCGACTTGTAGATATACTCAACATTCCCAATCCTATAAGAAAACCAAAGACACCGAAATATTTTATATTACTCACATGTACTATGTTGTGCATTGCATACATTTTCTAATCGTGCATTAGTCTGTCAGTGCAGGGAATTAGGGGTAATTTGTCGAGTATGAAAATTGCCATCCTAGTTTTAAGTAAAGGATTCTATTTCCATAAAAGTAAGTCACAGCGAGAATTGAGATAGGTAAACAGTAGTCCTTTTCATTTGAATCTATAAGCATTTACTTGGTCCAGTAATACGTAAATACACGCCTTTTATATTTGTATATAAAGAATCAATGGATTTATTTCTATTTTTAATCCTACATTTTTATTATTTCAAATGATATTTCTAGTGGATAGCCGTATTTTAAAATAGACGTGTTTGAAATATCTATCTATCTATCTATCTATCTATCTATCTATCTATCTATCTATCTATCTATCTATCTATCCTCACACGAGAGATATACAAAACACACACACTCAATATATATATATATATATATATATATATATATATATATATATATAATGCTTATATGATTATATACTATTACACCAATTTCCAAATATATCACACATGCACGAAAATATTCACACAGTTGCACACTGTTTAATCACAAACATTTACAAACACATTCACGCACGTGCATATATATATATATATATATATATATATATATATATATATATATATATATATATGCATGTGTACGTGTGAGAGCGTGTTTATCAATTGGTAAATACTGAAACGTTTGAAGTGAAGTTCGAAAAAAATCATTCATGTATAAAATTGTCATTCTCAGTCTTTTTTCCACACACACACACATATATATATATGTATGTGTGTATTTATATATATATATATATGTGTGTGTGAATATATATATATATATATATATATATATATATATATATGTGTGTGTGTATGTGTGTGTGTGTTCAGCAAATGTTCTTACAGACAAATGCTTTTAAGAACGATAGATATTTTTGAACCGATTGTTTTAGTGATTGACTTTTCCAGTTTGCGAACAAAACTTAGATTATATTTCCTGGACGTTTCTTACGATATGAACTTTGGACAATTCATTACGGAATTCCATCCATTTCTGGGATGGATTATTCGTAAATTGGAAAAGTCAATCATTAAAATTAATAATAATTTAATAAAATCGATCGTATTTGACTTATACACAGACACACACATAAACACACACACACACATATATATATATGTATGTGTTTATATATATATATATATATATATACACACACCACCACACGCACACGCACACAGACACACACACAGACACACACACACACACACACACACACATATATATATATATATATATATATATATATATATATATGATGAAGGTGAATGTTTTCGACATTCCAGAAAGAGTACTGAATTTGAGTTGATTTTGTGTAGTTGGTTGAGCTAGGAAATTACCGTGTGTATGTCTCTCTCTCTCTCTCTCTCTATATATATATATATATATATATATATATATATATATATATAGATAGATAGATAGATAGATAGATAGATGATAAATAGATGTGTGAGTGAGGATGCCAATTTCGCTTCTGAGCGATTTTATTCTATTATTCCTTCAGACACTTAACGTAGCCAATATCTACCAATATTCAATTCAATATAGCTTAAGTGTTTCTTCTGATATTAAAAAACATGACATAAGCGCGTGAAAAATGATTCACAAAACACAAAGCTAGATCGGACAGTTATGGCTAAAAGCAATTTTTCTCTCTTTCCCTTATTTTCCTCTCAATATTTTCTCTCGTTTATTTTCCGGCTTTCATTTACTTTGATTTTTTTTTACAACGTTCTTTTCATAGTTAAGCTTTGTTTCTATTCGATTTGCGGATAGTTTGCTTCGTGTTTTCTTTTCTTTTTTCTTCTTTCTTTTTTTCGCTTTTTTACTTTTTTAGTTTTCGCTTCGTGCCTTTTACTTCCTTTTTATTTTTTTTTGTGTTTTTTCTCTTCATCCTTTATTTTTTTTACCCTTTTTTTACATTCCATTTTACTTCAACTATATGTGTTCTCTCTTTTTTCTTTCCTTTTTTCGCTATAATGCTTTTTTTTTCTCCATTCTAACTTTTCTTTGTTCCTTTTTTCTTCTCTTATATATTTCTCCTTCTTCTTTTTTTTCCTTTTGTGCCTTTCTTCTTTCTATTATTTCTTTTCCGTTGTTGCTTTTACTCATTCCTCCCTCTTTCTTTTTCTTCCGCTGTTTCTCCTTCGTTTTTCCCTGTATTTCTCTCCATTTATTCTTCTCCTTTCATGTCATTCGTTTTTTCTCTCTTACTTTGGTTTTCTTCATTCGTTTCTTTTACTTTTCTTTCCAGTCACATTTTTTTTTCTTCTTCATTTGTTGCGTTCTTATCTATTGCTTTCTCTTCCATATTTCTTTTACGAGTTCTCTCTTCAGTTTCTCTTTTTCTTTTCCTACGTTATCCATTATGCGAGAAGTTAGCATTAATTTTCTTATTCATCTTCCTTTTTGTTTTAGTTAATATTTTACATTTTCTTTCTCATATTTTTTACTCTTTTTTTTTTTACTGATCAAATTCAATTTTATCTGATCGCCATAGATTGAAACTTCAATGGAAATATGCGATTTCTTGCGATTTTTAAGCTCTCATTCTTTCTTTACATTTTATGAGATGAATTCAATATCTTTCTACATTTCCTTAAATCCTATCTTTACTTCGCTTTCATTCAATTTCTTGTTGTTGTTGTTGTTGTTGTTGTTGTTGTTGTTGTTGTTCTTGTTCTTCTTCTTCTTCTTCTTCTTCTTCTTCTTCTTCTTCTTTATTCAAGGTTCCTTCTCTTTCTTTTCTCAATTACCATCGCTTTTTTTAATTTATTTTATTTTTTATTGTTTTTTATTGTTGTTTTGCTTTTTTCCTTTCATTCTTCATACCTTTTGGTTTTCCATCTTTTCAATTCTCCTTTTTCTTCTCTTTCACTTCTATTTTTCTCCTTCAATTCTCCTTTTTCTTCTCTTTCACTTCTATTTTTCTCCTTCAATCTTCTTCTTCTTCTTCTCGGCTTTTCCTATTACTTCGTTTCTTCTCATTACCTTTTTGTAGTATTATTTCTCTTACACATGCGTCTTAAGTAAAAATCTTTACTTTTTTCATTCATTGTTCCTTGTTTAATTTGTTTAGTCTTTTTTTAAATATTTAATGTTTCTTTTTGTCTATTTTATCCCTGTCCTATCTTTTTTGCAAAAAACACACAAGTCTTCCCCCCGTTCTTTCTTTCTTTCTCTTTTTCGTTTGTCTCTCAGTTTGTCTTACTTTCTTTCTTTTTCGCTGTACGTATGTCTAGCTGCCTTTCTTTTTTCTTTCTTTCGCTGTGCGTATGTTTAACTGGTTTTCTTTCGCTTTCTTTCTTTCTTTCTTTCTTTCTTTTTTTCTTTCTTTCATACTATCTACGTTCTTTCTCCTTTTTTTTTCACTGTCTACATGTCTACCTATCTTTCTTTCTTCTCTCAACTTCCTTTCACGCTTTGCTCATATTAACTCTTTTCTTCCTCAATTCGTTTACTCATTATGAAAGGACTTCCTTATTGTTTTCTTTCAGTTTCGATTAG